CTGAAAAACTGACGTAAAAACAGTAGAAAACACTAGTAAGATAAAAACCAACATTTAAAAGCACAAGTGTCACCTGGCCTGTAAATGCAAGGGAAAAGAAGTGGGTTTTTAAGATTTTAAAACAGGCAGAGTTGGAGCAAGTCTAACCTGGAGGGGCAATTTGTTCCATAATTTTGGAGCTGCAAAGTCTCCGTCTCCTCGCTGCTTCAACCTCGATTTAGGGACGACCAGAAGGAGTCTGTCAGCAGACCTCAGTGACCGTGTGGGTGTGTATGGTTTTAAAGGATCTGCCAGGTACGGTGGGGCTAAACCATTTAGGGCTTTGTATGCAAACAATAACATTTTAAATTGTATTCTATAATTGACTGGTAACCAATGTAAAGAGGCGAGTACAGGCGTAATATGTTCACGCCTGCCTGTCCTTGTAAGGAGGCGTGCAGCAGCATTCTGGACCAGCTGTAGGCGAGACAGGGAAGCCTGGCTTACTCCGATGTACAGAGCATTGCAGCAATCCAGTTTAGTGGATATAAAACAATGTATTACTCTCTCAAAGTCATTAAAAGAAAGGAAAGGCTTGACCTTTGCTAAAATTCTTAGTTGAAAAGATCAGACCTCTTGACACCCTGTTTTTTCACAAAGAAGCATTTCACTAAGCATTGAGTAATGTCACTGTACTTCCTACACAAGGGAATGATTCAGCACATCCAACTTCTCTTTTATGGCACCCGGGTTTGGCTTTAACTGATAACTCAGGTGGAGTGTGCTGTGCTCGATGATCTATGTGTTCTCTCAGTCGTACATGATCGATACTGTAGCCCACTCCCCGGCTCCATCAAAGCTCAGGTGACCCTGGTCCGATTTGAGCGATCTTTGGTCTCTCTCGTTTGCTTTTCGTCTGACTTGTGACACTCCAACTGGAGATGTGTATGTGCACAAAGAGTTGGAGGTTGAAAGGTGACTGATAAATAAATGTACATCTAGGAATGCTTTCTGACACAGCTTTTATCAAGTTAGGGTATCAAGCTGTTTACAACCCTTACAGTTTGGAGGACTTGAATACTGCTTTGTGTTGCTAGAAACTGTCACTCAAAGAAACGTATATGCTATGCAATAATACTTTTTTGTCAAGATTGAAGTTTCAAAGCGTTGTGTCCCAGGCTCAGAAATATTTACAAGACATAAAACAATACAGAAATAAAATAGTGCAAGACTATTTGCAAGTAAATGCAGAAGTAAACTATATACAAATAAAATACAATAATCTAAATGTTGAAAGACCAACGTGCAAGTAAATGCAGAGGTTTATATCCATTTAAAATAAAAAGATAAGCAAATATTAAATGTTAAATGAATGATTGTGCAGTGGAATAAATACTGCTTATTGTAATAATAAGTACATGTATGAACTGCAAACAGATCAATGCTATAAAGTTGCTTCAAAGTTGTCAAATCAAGTCTGAAATGTTTCTTGAATCTCAGCAGCTTTATTTGCAACATCATCAAGGACACATGACAAGAAACAATAAAACAGACATTTCACATACTATTACAATCACTGAAGACATTATTAAAGACATTATCATAAACTAAGTTGTTATCTCAGGATTGACTGGGGCACAATAAAGTGACTCCCTGTTGGAGGCATGGTAAGGGTCCGAGGCATTGTGCCTGGCCAGCCTTCACTAGTTGTTATGGTAGGTTGATTCATAAAGTTCCTCAAAGGGTCTTTGAGAATGCTTTTATTTACATAACTTGAGTTTGTGGTGATGCTTGATCGCCACAAATCCTTTCGGCTATTTACTATTTATGACATGAGTGTTATAAAAGTGATTGCAACACTGTTGATGTCCAAGTATTTTGTGTACGCCAGCTAATGCACCACAGAGACCACAGACCTCGTCAAACTAATAATAATCTAGACGGGTTTGTCAACAATAGATGAGTTATTTATATTGTTGTTCTCTGCCCTGCATTTGAATGAGTCACAACCATTAGCTGGATGTTTTTCAGCACCACAGGAATGCTCTGCTGTTTCTGTTATGCTCTTCTTAGTTTTTTTAATTGTTTAGTTTTTCTTGTGCAGCATGAATGGACTTGGAGCTACAACTCAATGTTGTGAAACCATGATCTGCAGAAGGACAATAAACGATCTTTGAGTCATGTCCCACAATAAACACTATTGTTCTCTATGTGGAACAATAAGTTAGCCAGATACTGTTACGAGAGTGCAAAAGCCATTTGATGCTGTTAAAATAATAGAAACAAAGGTACATGCATCTTCTTTGTGGAAATATACTGGTATTGTGTTGCACAGAAGACATGATGCCCAACCTGTTAAGTTTGAATAGTCAAACATGCAAATTCGCTCTGTACCCGGCTCCCATTGGAGGCTTATGCCTGTTTTGAATGTGCTTCTTTTACTTTCTTTATGAGGGCCTTTTTTAGCTTTGCTTTCTGTCAAAACACTGTAGTGTTACTGGTTACACCCTTAGTGTGTTACAAATACTGGAGGACAGTAGTCATGTTCTTCAACCCAGTTAACCTTAGTGTACTTTGATGCGGCAGTCAGTGGACACAGTATGGGACAAAGCTCACCTTTTAAAGATGTTTGAACATTAACCCACGAGAGGACGCAATACCTCTAACTCAGGGACGTTAATTGTCAGTTAACAGGGTCACTTTTGTCTTTCTGCTTTTCTATCCCACAGTTGCAAACACGAATTGACAGAGTGTCTGTGTGTTTGTTTGATCACTTTTATTAAAGGATTATTTCTCCTGTAGATTACATTTTCATCGTGATAGTTATGTTGTTCTTGCCATGCCTTATTGGCTGTTTAACACCAACTATCACCACTGTCCAATGGGACACTCATCAGCAGTGGTTGTGCTGTCAATCAAATGGTTTACTAAGTTAAATGACAACCCCCATCCTGCTGTCAAGCCAAAGCCCTTGTGTTATATAGCATTTGATCAAATACAAGTGTTTATATTTATGGGGATTTAGTTCACGTCTGGGCAAATAAAAGGTCAATAATTAGTAGTTCTCAAGATGTATAGAGTTGTATGCTTAGTCATTAATGTGTTCAGTTCCATACAATAAAAAAACAAGAGGACAGAAAGGTAATTGTATACTTTGTTTTGTTTTTTGTTGCTTTGCAGTGGAGGTGGTGAGGGATCACTGGACCGGCTTCTCCCCGTGGTAACCACAGGCCTTTCGCCAAGGAAACGGACCACCAGCCAGTGCAAGTCTGAGCCCCCTCTCCTACGCACCTCCAAAAGAACCATCTACACCGCCGGCCGCCCCCCCTGGTACAACGAGCATGGAGCACAGTCCAAAGAGGCCTTCGTCATTGGTAAGACACAAAGAGTTACACGCCACAATGTAACAGCAGTAATGGTTTCTTATCTTGCATATCTTTGTATCATTTAGAGGACTTGCAGTACTCTAGTAAGTTGCATTGTCATAGAGAAAAATGCATACTGACACATAATGCCAATACATATATTTTTCGAGTGGGTTTTAAAAACGGAAGGAAAAGCAGCCCTACACTAGATCATGTGCTTAGTGTAAGTAGTCTTAGTGCTTAGAATTGAGTCCCTTACTGTTACACCTTGGTAAGATCCCTGGTATGTGTCTCTGCCTGTCTCACTACATTCAAATAATAGCCTGAAACCACTTCAAAATTAACTTAATTTGCCCTGTCAAGCTTGCGCTAGTGAGTTATATCCCAACCTAGCAAAGGTATTTTTTAATACATTTTGCAGTTAAACTTGTATGCAAATAATATCTGATGTCTTTAATGTTTTGTCACAGGTCTGTGTGGCGGCAGCGCTTCAGGAAAGACAACCGTAGCCAGGAAAATAATTGAAGCTCTAGATGTGCCATGGGTTGTCTTACTCTCAATGGACTCTTTCTACAAGGTGCGTTTTAAACTATATGTTGTGTGTCCATTTATCTGCCACACACTTTCTTAGGAGGGTGGTTTTGTTAGGTTAAGAGTGTCTATTATTTAGAATATAGCTGGCCTGGATTCTGATATATCTTTTCATATCTTGACATCAGTCCAAATGCTTTCAGATTCTAGAGATAAAAACTTCAGGACTATACTAAACCACTTCTACTTTTTTTTTATTAAGTTGTATCTATGACTGATCTGGCTGCTTACTACGCAGTGCCCTGAAGGAAGGGAGAGAGTGAGACTAAGTGAAGAACGCAGAGTGAAAGAGATAATACGAGTGCCTTTGGATCCAAGAGGGGGATTTAGGATAAGAGGAGTGAATGAAGAGAAAAGAGACGGAAAGGACTACATTTAAAAAGGCAGATGAGTCAAAAGAAAAGCGCAGTGATGGGCAAAGTGGGAGAGAGAAAAAGGTTTACGGAGGGCAAGCAAGCAAGAGCCATTTTTCTTGCCCCTGTATTCCTCCTCCGGTATCCGGTTATGTAATCCTGCCACCATCTGACAAGCTGTGCGGAGTAGGAGGGATTTACCCTCAGCTAATGATACTGTAGTCCTCAGCAAGGGGCCGGTTCGACCACAGTATTCCCAGAGGTCACCATCCCAAACATTTAGCCTGTCCAAAAAAACATTTCCTAATCTTCTGTTACGTTTTCTTCATGTTGGTTCAAATGCCCCACGGTAACACCAGTTTATCATTTTTAGAATGTATTCAGTTCACTTGAGAAGAAGGGGGCGTTGCTGTTTTGAAACTGCCAAATACCATGTTGTGGTTTTAATGATAGACTACCCTAGGGCGCTCACACACACACGCACGCACACACACACACACACACACACACACACACACACACACACACACACACACACACACACACACACACACACACACACACACACACACACACACACACACACACACACACACACACACACACACACACACACACACACACACACACGGTACAGACGTCACAGTGGCGCATGATGTTCTCCTAAATTTAGGTCTCCTAACTTCAACAGCTCTTTAACAGTAATCTGTGTCCAAGTGTTTTTGCATAAGCTGGTGTAAACTACAGTGCCTTGCAAAAGTATTCACCCCCCCTTGGCATTTTTCTTGTTTCATTGCTTTAAAACATTTCATTTAATTAGATTTTTGGAGAATTTGTATTATTTGATATACACAATATGCCTACAACTTTGAAGATGCAAAACATATTTCTTATTGTGAAACAAGCAAGAAATAATAATGAAAAAGAGAAAACATGAGCGTGCATAACTATTCACCCCCCCAAAGTCAATACTTTGGAGAGCCACCTTTTGCAGCAATAACAGCTGCAAGTTTCTTGGGGTATGTGTCTACAGTATAAGCTTGGCACATCTTTCCACTGGGATTTGTTTCCATTCTTCTTGGCAAAACTGCTCCAGCTCCTTTAGGTTAGATGGGTTTCGCTCGTGTACAGCCATCTTTAGGTCATACCACAGATTTTCGATTGGATTAAGGTCTGGGCTTTGACTAGGCCACTCCAAAACGTTTAAATGTTTCCCCTTAAACCACTGTAGCGTTGCTTTAGCAGTATGCTTTGGGTCATTGTCCTGCTGGAAGGTGAACCTCCGCCCAAGCCTCAAATCTCTGGCAGACTGAAACACAGTTTCCTCAACTATTTCCCTGCATTTAGCTCCATCCATCACTCCTTCTATTTTGACCAGCTTGCCAGCGATGAAAAACATCCCCACAACATGATGCTGCCACCACCAGTCTTCACTGTGGGGGTGGTGTTCTGAGGGTGATCAGAGGTGTTGGGTTTGCGTCTGACGTAGCGTTTGCTTTGATGGCCAAAAAGTTCAATTTTAGTCTCATCCGACCACAGGACCTTCTTCCACATGTTTGGGGAATCTTCCACATGCCTTTTGGCGAACTCCAAACATGTTTTCTTATTTTTTTTGCGACTCTTCCATAAAGCCCAGCTCTGTGGAGTGTACGGCTTACTGTGGTCCTATGAACAGATTCTCCTCTCTCTGCTGTGGAGCTTACCAGCTCCTTCAGGGTTATCNAAAGAAAGAAGCTATATCCATGTTGGATAGAATATCCAATTTAAATAAAAAAATAACCTTTAAGGGACAACTTGAATGCTTTTTTTCTCGTTAATGCATTGCATAAAGATCGGATCGGGAAAAATCGGTATCGGCAAATTGTCAAAATCAAATGATCGGAATCGGATCGGGAGCAAAAAAAGGTGATCGGGACATCCCTAGCAAAAATCATAACCTCGATTATTTGGGTCAATAATTGATATCATGATTATTAAAAACGATTATCCATTTACTTTGAAAACATCAATTTATTGGAGAATTTCTTTTTAACAGTATGTTTTGAACAGTTGATTACCCTGAACTTTAAGTATAATTCAACTGAAAAACCAATTAAAAAAAAAAAAAAAAAAGTAATAATAAAAAGATAATCGTTTTATTTAGATTACCCTGTTTTCGGAATCGTTGCAAGCCATAATCGTAATTGCGATTTAAAATACGATTGATTGAGCAGTCCTAATAGACATGTGCTTTCTGTATGACCATGCACTGTATGTCTGTTCTACTCTAATAACACCTGCATGTGTGTCCTCCGCAGAAAACTGTGTATGGAGCCAGTGTTATCATCTTCGAGGGAATCATGGCCTTCGCCGATAAAAAGCTCTTGCAGGTAGGGCAAGGTTAATCTCCTCTAACTTGTTTAACTAGTCATCGTAAAGAGCTGGTGTCAGGTTCATTCTGATGCGTGCTTCTGTCAAACATGTTGTTATTTGCATAATATGGGAGGTCACTTTTTACTGCTGTCACATAAACCAGCGATGTTTATGCAAAAACAAGCTCATCAACTTTTTCAAATGTAAAATACACAATTTATATATAAAAACACGGGATTGTATCTTATATTACTGATATCTGCATATTCATCGGTTAATAAGTGCCAAAGATATTTTGAAGGGGCAAACTTTCTCCACCAGAGAGCACTGACAAGTTCATTGTTCCACCGTAAAATGTTGTTTATTTAATAAGCTTTTATCCTTATCTATTACTTCCAAGTTGATTTATTTGGATTTGATTTGATTGACATGTTTTTCAACTGCTGTTAAAAAGCTGTCTTTTGACATCAGCAGATGTTAAGCATTCAACTACTATAAATAGTTATAGTCATTCTTTAAAAAACGAATTGCCATTTTGCCACCTGTTCAATTTCATGCTGTGCTGTATATATGAATGTGAATAGGATTGCTTTTTAAATCACTAAAAACACTGCTCCCTTATTCTTGCTTTTAGACAAGTAAGTGAAACACATCTGTGGGAAGGTGATACAAAACAAAAACTGAATAACTTACAGAGAATGAATAAAAGTCACCACATACTTGAAGCTCCAATGTTATGTTAAAACAAAACTGAGGACATTTTTTTTTTTCTATAGCTGAATTCTCTTCATCAAGGATGCATTGTTGCATATTTCAAAACATTTTTTTCCCGGAGCATTTCAAACCGATTGTCAAGAAAAAGCACGGGTAACTTTTCCAATTCACAATGACTTCAAATATCTCGACACAACAGGAACCACACGTAATCCTAGAGTTTTACACAAAAATAAGCAGAAAGAGTATATTTATTTTCTTTTTCATTTTGTTTTCATGTTCACATTTCCTCTCCGTTTCATGTTCTCCTGTCAGCTGCTGGACATGAAGATCTTTGTGGACACAGACTCTGACATCCGGCTGGTGCGTCGGTTGAGGAGAGACATCACAGACCGAGGCCGAGACATCGAGGGCGTCATCAAACAGTACAACAAGTTTGTAAAGCCAGCGTTTGAGCAGTACATTGAACCCACCATGCGGCTGGCTGATATTGTGGTGCCACGGGGTACGTGTATTCTCCACACACACATATTGAAACACACATGTATACAGGTATATTATAGCTTATGATGTCTTCATTGAACAAGGACCATGCATACAAATAAATCTCAAAAGGAGAAAGATGATCTTATTTCCATCTGCAGTCCTTGGGCAGGTTCACACAAAACCATCAACAAAAACTAAAAACATTTCATAGTCTCGATCAAAGTACAGGTCTATAAACTCAAATACAGTACAAGTATATGACAATTCATTTCAACTAAACATTCCAATTACAGTCAAATTAGTTGGAAGGACTGGTTGCTTAATATCCATTTGTTTTGCACCATGGGGAAAAAGAGTGAAAGTCTGTTCACTATTAAAACTCAGGTTACTATAACAATGACAGGGAATAAAGAAAAATTGTATTTTGTTAGGAATTTGATCAACATTGCATTTTACTGCTGTTAAATGAATAAGACACTGTATATTTTTGTAGACCTATGATTCTAAGTTAACATCATGCCATCTTGTTTTTGTCGTCCCGTCAGGCGGTGGCAACATGGTGGCCATCGATTTGATTGTGCAGCATGTCCACAGTCAGCTGGAGGAGGTAAGAGAGGTCTCACTACATGGTGTTTTAGATTTTAGACATGTTAGTATAGCATTCATTTAGCCTCTCTGATTTCTGCTTTCTGTTGGGATGCTCCACACTCAGATGTGTGTAGCATCAACCAGCCATCAGCTCTGTCTGTAAGCTCCATCCCTCCCTCTGGTGGACAGAAGATGAACCATACTAACACATTAAAGGGCAGGATAAATGTGATGAATATGTTTCTGTCTGGTTTAGTGAGTGTGAAGTTAGATATAGATGTTTTGAAGTATTGTGATAGCAGTTATTGTAGTCCCTTTAGTCTGTTTCAGGATTTACTTATTTGTTTTACTTTAAGTCTCCAGTCACGATTTTTTACTTATTTGTGTCTAAAATGAGTTAGAACTGTATTATTCCCGAGTTACAGCCCTAATTGTAAAACAAACAAAGTGAACCTGAAACCAAAAGATTGAATGTTCATTTCTGAAAAAAAAAAATTAATGTCTTTTGGTAATTGATTACATTTTCTGCTTCTCCATATTCAACTGGTTAAGATGTCCTTCAAGGTCAATCAATTTAATTTAAGCCTTTTAAAAATGAATTCACATCATAGTAACGTTAATGACAGGGTTCTTACGGTCATTAAAAACCTGGAAAAGTCATGGAAATTCAAAATGCTAATTCCAGGCCCTGGAAAAGTTATGGAAAACAATATTTTTCCCAAAGTTTTGGAAAAGTCATGGAAATGTAACTAAAGTTGCATCAAATATAATTTATATTTTATCTAATCGCCAAAATAGTAATACTATAACGACAATAAATACTGTATCGTATAGTATTTTGCTGCTGAGAGATTTTAGTTGCTTTAGAAGCTAGTAAGCCTACTATTTGATTTGATTTGTTTTAGATAGGCACAACATGTTTCATATGCAGACCTTATTTTCCTGTTCCATGTTAAAATAAACCATTTTCAGTGGTACGCTGAGAAAGAGTAATGTTTTTGGTCATGGAAAATGAGGTAAAGTTCATGGAGAAGTCATGGAAAATCATTGGTGAAAAAGTGTGGAGTCGGCTGACTAACAAAAACAAAAAAATACATGTGCAGTTAAATAAGCTATTTAACTTTTACCATTTGCTTTAACACTATTAATCTTCAGTTGATAATCATCCATATCATACTAACTTCAAGACTTTACTTTAAATGTATAAGTGTTAAAAGCTTTCATATCAATTAAAATATGATTACATTTTAAATATTTGTTCTGAAATAATTCAGTCCTGATGAGCAAAGAGGTGTCATCAGTTGCACGGCCCTGATAGAAACCCCATGGTTCATCCTTCAGAATAATCCCTTCAACCCTGATCCAGAGTGTGCTGTTTGACTTTTGGATTTGTTTGACAACCTGCACTAACTTTCACCAAAGGCCCATTTTAGCTCGTGGGGAGCACTTTGTTAGTTTGCTCTGTTTCTCCCCACCATACACACACATTAACACACGTGCTGATGTACTGCTTTCTCACCCTCTCTCCCCCCCACTTCCCCGCATTGCCCCCATGGCTCTCAGCGCGAGCTCAACGTCAGGTAGAGTGGCCTTTATCCTGTCTATCGTTCTCTCCTCACCATATGTCCCGTTCCCCCAGCTTCTTACGGGGAGAGAGGAAAAGAGGCCAGCTAAACCAACCTCTAGCTTCCACTGATCTGCTGGCTGCCATGGCACCTCACCATGTGGCGCTGTCTGAACTCTACAGCAAATACCACTAATTGGAGATCAGTCACAAGAGCATGAGACTATGCCAAAATATTGTAGTCCACCCTGACTTACTATAATAACTACTTTTAAAACCGCTGCCAACATTACACTTAGATCAAAAGTTTGGATGTGGTGTGGTGCAGCCAGCATTTCATGTCAAGCAGTTGGTTTTTCTTCTCTCTACCTTTTTTTTAGAGAAATGACAACTTACACTCTTCCTGCCTGCTGTGTCTAAAAATACACCAATGAGTCAAGTCACTGACCCCTCCTCTCAGTGGCAGCACGAATAGGAGAGAGAGACTATAACAGAAGAGAGAGAGAGAGAGAGAGAGAGAGAGGAAGCTCTTGCTGCATCTATTGTTGACTATCACATACCTCAGCCACACAGAAAGTTTCCAATACCCTTCTACAAAGCGCTGAGTTTTTCCATTGAATGTCGGCCACAGTATCTGAGAGAGAGAGAGAGAGAGAGAGAGAGAGAGAGAGAGAGAGAGGAAGTGGGAGAGCGAGGGAGTTCTCAGAATTAAAAGGAAGCTATTGATGTCTCTCGCTCCAAGGCCCTCTTTTTACCCGACTTCTAATTTAGCATTTCACACACAGCACACACAGAAAATAAATTAGAGGGGCAGGGAGAGGAGAG